CTTTCTTAAATGTCAGTAATATCTTTTCTTGCTTGCATATGTAACAAGTGTGATCTTGTCTGAGATTAGTATGTTTCAATGTGGAGAGACACGGAAAGGGAGACTTCAGGTTTTTAAGATTTAGAACAGAAATGTTCTGATGGTGACCACGTTTTAAGGTTTCCCTGCAATAGACAAAACCATTTGGGCACCAACTATATCCTTTTAATGTGGATCTAAGACTCTTTATCCTTGACCTCTTTCTGGCTGTTCGTATTGTGGATTTCTTTAGTTCTCTTTTAAAAACTCATGTTATATACTGATATTTTGGCTTTTCAAAAATAAAACATGGCTCTATAGTTACTTTTCAGCTTCCCAAAACAGCCCTTTTAGCCTAGGCAAGAGCCTAGCTTTTAATTCTTCCCAGATGACTTCTTCAGCTAGGCATTATTCACATTAATCTACTTTTTCTTACATAAGATGCTATTATCTGTGTAAGTTGCCATATCTGCTTGAAAGAACACTATTGGGCTATTTTTCTCAAAAAGCTCGTAATCCAATAACTACTTAGAACTTCCTATTAGGAGACAGGCCCAATGGGAGCTTAATGTATCATGAATTTTTCCATCATAAATGGTTTCAGAAGTTATCCCGAAATACTTATTAAATATTTATCAGATACTTACTTTGCAGGCACAGCACTGGCCCCTGCTGAGGGGATATAAAAATGGGCACAGTGTCCCACTGATAGAGGGGGGAAGAGATGTAAATCCCAAACCTACTGAATATCTGAAACTCAAGTTCATGTTCTCTAAAGTTGAGGAATGAATTCTAGGAACAATGGAGGTTAAGAGTGGCAAAATTTTATTGAGAGAAAGAAAGCTTCTGTCTAAGAGAGACAGTGGGCAGCCATCCCACTTCTCAAAGACATTTTATACAGCAAAGCCATGTGGTGAGGCGGGTGGGACAAAACTATAAGACCCAGTGGAAAATTACAAGGTGGGCATGAGGGGGGGGGAAACCATGACCAACCAATAAGATTACAAGTACAGTCACCCAGGTGACATTGATTAAGTGGGGGTCAAACGGGGGAGCAAGTCACGGAGCAAGCATAGGAGGATTTTCAGTAAGGGTAGGGGTCAGGGATATTTCCTGGAAAGGCTGCTCTAAGACCTTGGCCCCCCTCCAAGATGATTGATACCTATTTAGAATATCAATCCCTGCTATTCATCCCAGGGGAAGCACAAGGATAAAGTAGTTTCTCTTATAATTCTGGCCTTTAGTGAATGTGTCTGGACTGTCCTCCGTGTCGGCTTCTCCTGGGTTGGCCCTGTCTAACTGCCTACAAGATATCTAATTAAGTTACCTATCTGCAATACCACCTTCCAGAAGTGTACATTCTCTTAGGACAGGAAGGCACGTAGGTGGCAGAAGAGTGGACAGTGGCCCTTGGTCAGCTGCTGTGATAAGATACAGTGACAGGATAAGCAGTCTTGACTTGCTGTAGAGGTTGAAGGAGTCTTGGAGCAGTAGTAGGGAAGCCAGCATCTGTTCAACTGAAAGGAACATCAAGTAGGTTGTGTTTACAAAGAGGGTCTAAAGGGGACCTGGGTATCTCTTACAACCCAAGTGTACGTGGCAAGACTGAAAGGGTTAGAGGCTGCCAGCCAGTGTCTGTCTGATCCTCTGTCTTTGCTTTGTTCCACTCGTCTCTGCACATCTTCCTGCTTTCTCTCCCTGGACCAACAGCTTCTTTAGATGTCTAGGTGACTCTCCCATGTGTGTTGTCACACGCTAATTCTGGATTTGCCTTATCTAATGTCCAGTCAAATATCCTCAGCATCTAGGAGAGCCTATGTGCGTCAGTTCAGAACTCTGGAAGAAGGGGATGCACTATGTGGACTACTTTTCCTCTAGTCCTAGTCAGCTGTAGGGGCGGAGTAACTGAATAAGGTTGGAGTTCCTATTTCTGTTTTATTGATTAGGATTCTTTGTCGTTCAGATTTTATAATCTCCACATCCTTTGGCGTAATCTCTAAATCCTTATGAATATTTGCACTTCCTACTTTCAGCAATATGGAGATAGAAGTTGATAATCAGGAAATAATACACATGCCATAGATTGCATGGCGGGAGCTAGAAGTAAATTCTTTTTGGGTGATCCCTATTTAAAGCTCTGGTTATCTTCTGGGAGATGCCCTCTGTTCACAGAATTTAATGTGTTAGTTTGCAATTCTCCTTGCTTAGAAATTGTCACTTTGATAACACTTTTCTGTTGCACTGAATATTAGCATAGAAATCTGAAGGTGGCATGTGTCCCAAATGAAAAAGAGGCCCCTGCCTGCTACTAACCAGTTGTATCTATAAAAAGTAGTTAGTTTAAAATGGAAAGAAGGAAATGTAGTCTGAGAGTGTGTCTGCTACAGGGATTACAGAAAACTAGTAGCTCCTAAGAACATTTTGCCGTAGAGTATTTATTTCTGTGTAGTGGAAGCTAGAACCCCTCTAGAAAAATGCAATAACTCACACTTTACTGCACATAAAGTTATATCCCACAGGGTGAGCTCCATGGTGCCTCGAGTTTATGACTCACAAGTGCTGAACTTTTGTGATACAATAAAGTAAAGGTGGTGGGAGAATTATATTTCTGAACAATGAGCCACTTTGTCTTTCATTATATAGAGTAAAGCCATGGGGCCATTAAATTTTTAGTAACATTTTCAAGTAGAATGTTATCTGTGACCCTAAATGCTTTTATTGAAGTGTTAAGATATTTAAGAACAAAATAAAATACAGGGAAGGTAGCTGTACCCCTTGCAACTAGGTTACTGGCAGTGTTTGAAGAACCTTCCTCATACCTACTCCAAGATTCTGATTAAATGTGTGTGTGTGTGTGTGTGTGTGTGTGTGTGTGTTCTTTTCACATATTCTCCCACTGTTGATTGATCTCTTATACTTTACTTTTAATGATTTCAATAGGCTACTTTTCTAGAAGTTATATATTCACTGAAAAATTGAGAAGAAGGTACAGAGATTTCCTCTATATTGCTTGTGCTCACAAATACAACCTCCCCCCACCAACATACAGGACGTTTGTTACAAATGCAGAACCTACACTGATGTATCATTATCACCTAGAGCCCACAGTGTACCTTAGGGCTCACTCCTGGTGGTGTACATTCTTTGGACAAATACAAATGTCATGTATCTGCTAATGTAGTATCACACAGAATAGTTTCTCTGCCCTCAAATCCTCTATGTCAGTGATGGTGAACCTTTTAGAGCTTTCAGTGATAACAGCCCACTGTGGCATGCGTGCCTTAGGTTCACCGCCACTGCTCTGTATTCTAGTTTGTCTCCCTCAGAGCCCCCAATCCCTGGTAATCCTGGTTTTATTACTGTATTTATAGGTTTGCCTTTTCTAGAAATTCGTACAGTGTGTGTATTCTTTACAGATGGTTTTCTGCATTAGTCAGCTTTCCATCGCTGTGAAAAAGTATCTGAAATCATCAACTTAGTAAGACCAAAGGTTTATATTGGCTCACGGTTTTAGAGTTTCTGGTCCATGGGTGCTTGGTCCTGATGCTTTGGACCCATGTAGCTAACTCAGGTAAAAGCTGTTTTCTCACATTGTACCCAAATGTGAAGATGTCTTTCTTCTTCCTCAATGTTATTTCCAAACCACTCATCCCCTTTCCTCCCTAAAACACTGTTTGCCCCAGCTGTGAATTGCATGCTGTCAAATGAGAACACCATTCTCCTCTGCTTTCGGAGTTATCTGTGGGCCTCTTTCCCCCTCAGTGACATCCGTCCTCATTTTTGAAGATTTTAGGTCCTAGTTTTCTGTCTTCAGTACAGTGATCTTCCTTTCATGATTTGTAAGTTATTTTAACAATGATCCTTCCAGTATTCTAGTTTCCCAGTTTTTGCCAGTGACCTTACTTTCTTCATTGTCTCCGATTTTCTCTGATGATCATATTATGTACCTTGACGTTACCAATAACTATAACTTCTTCAAAATCTTAATTTCAGTTCCCTGACTTCCCAAATTCTATTTCTTCCTACCTCTCTCTTTCTCTCTCTCTCTCTCACACACACACACATCTACAACAAAAAATTTTTAACCCACTCCAAGATTCACATTTTATAGATCCTGTCATCTTTTAATTATACACTTTTTTTTATATTCTCACTTTGAACTGTTTTGATGCATGGTGCATAGTTACAATCATTTCTTGCTTATTATGCCCTAGTTCTCTCCTTCTATTGTTATTTATCTGGCACTTTTGAGCTTATGCTTTTATTTTAAATTACTGATTTCTATTAATAGAAGTGGTTTGATATTTGACAAGTATATGTTAGTTGATTGAGTCTGACATTTCATTCCAAGTGCTTAGCATTTGATTTATTAAGAACAGTAATCAGAGCAATGGGATATATAGTTATTGATAGAAGGAAATTCATGAATACAGTTCCTTACCTAAATGACCCCCTTGAAAATTTTTGATAAATTATTCTCTTGTAAATTACTTGGAACAAGGAGATTGACATTTGTATTGGAAGTTTGTTATGTGTCATCGTCTGTGTATAAAATATTTGTCTTGTTAGGAGTAAGCTGAATTTAACTAAAGATACCTGGATTTGTCTACTGTAGCACTTATTTAGAGCATTACAGGCTGTCATAGTCACACCAGATTATTTTGCATTGAAAATGATCCCATAATTTATAGAATTTCTCCTTTCTCCTCTTTGCTTCTATCTTTATCTCCCCTGGAAAAACACTTGAAGTCAAAATGGGCACAGTAAAACATAAGCCACATTGCTTAATGGAATTACTGCTGACTTTGTCACTTGCACTTTTTTTCTTCACACTAAATTTCTTTAGCTGGGTAGCAGGTAGAGCAGGTTTGACTGCAAGGGGACAGCAATACCTTACAATAATGGCAGAGGGTTCTGCAGGTGCATGTACGCATCAGCACCTGCTCCAGGTAATAATTTACTCTTCCTTTATGCTCTCCCAGGTCTACCCTGAGCTGCAGATCACCAATGTGGTGGAAGCCAACCAACCAGTGACCATCCAGAACTGGTGCAAGCGGAGCCGGAAGCAGTGCAAGACACACCCCCACTTCGTGATTCCTTACCGCTGCTTAGGTGAGCCAGCCAACTGTGTTTCTGATGTTGCCTGGACAGCGTTGGCTGAGGGAAAAGAGGGTGCTGTAATGAGGTCAAATGCACCGACTTTTTCTTCAACACATCGCCACTGTCTATAATTATCTCTCTGTATCTGTGGCATCTGCGCCTGTAGATTCAGCCAACTGTGTATGGAAAATATTTGGGGAAAAAACAAACCCAAGTTCATCCGTATTGAACATCTGCAGACTTCCTGTCATTATTTCCTAAAATATAAAGTGTAACAAATATTTAGAAGTCATTATATTTATAAGTCACAAGTCATCTAGAGATCATTTAAAGTATATAGGAGGGTGTGCATTGATTGCATGCAAATACTACGCCACATAAAAGAAAAGATTTGAGACTGTAGATTTTGGTATCCTTGGAGGATCCTAGACTATTTCTCTGTAGATACTGTGGAGTGAATGTATTCTGCTGTGTTTTGGAAAATTAAGGTAGTGTTTTATATTAGGAGACTACAGCGACAGTATTTTTGAGTATCCTGCCCCCAAATGAGTTTACTCAGGGTGCTTATTAAATTTAGAAATTTCTGACCCAATCCCAGCATTGGTGAATGAGAAATACGTGGTGGTAGGGCCTGGCAATCCTTATTTTCCAAGATCTCATAGGTTATTTTCATTTACACTCACTGTCAGAGGCGTATGGAATGTGGGCCTTGTGTTTTTCTTCACAGTCTTCATAGAAAAAAGACTCTAATGTGAAGTTCCAATATTTTGCTGATTTCTTACAGAGCCTTTTCTTGTATCAGTCAGCTACTTTTCTTAGTTTGCAATAGTCAGGAAATTGGAGCTGAGAAATGTTTTTCTCTCTATATACCAGATTGGAGGAAATCCTAAGTCAGGCTTAAAATCTTTGACTTCAAGCTTCACTTTCACTTTTTTACTTTTGAAATTGAGTTTTATATGGTGTCATGCTTTTTTCTTCTTGAAACACTGTCATAAGTCCATATTTTATTTGACTTGGTTATCAGTCTCTTCCTTATGGATGTTTTTATATAAACAAGCATTGTGAAAATCTGTGGTCTTGATCTGATTACTTGCAATTCATCTAGATGTTCTTTATGAATTTATTCATCAGTGGAAAGACTCAATAAGAATGCAGATGTTATATGGAAACTGTGGACAAATGCTGCTGTATATTTTGATGACTAAAAGGAATCTTTAGAGGAAAATCCTTGCTTTCCTAGCAGGACCCTGGATTCCATCTCTAGCAACACAGAAAGTAAAGTCCCAGATGCAAACTTAGAAAAAGGGGAAAACTACTGGAGATTTTGGAGTTATCTGTAACATTTGGTCAAAAATGCCACAAAAGCATACTGACTGCTGCTCATTCATGTGCTTAATTTGAGAAGTAAATAGATGTGTAAGAATTCCAATGAGGATTTCCTGTGGTAAATTTACTACTTATAATGTAATTGATGATTAGAGTACAGAAAACTAAATTCTTAAATATTTAATAATTGATAACTTTTTTTATTCCTCCTTATTCTTTGTTCCTAAATGCTTTATAAAGCCTCTTGTTCTTCTCTGTCTGATTGAGAAGTAAGGATTCTGTCATATGAAAGAAAGTGCCACTTAAATACTGGATACAGAACTCCTGTTTCAGGAAAATACTATAAAAGTGCATCTGTCTTCCAGGAACTGTGAATTTCAAACTTACATATTCCTCCAAGAAATAATGTACAGAAGCAATACTATTTAAGACAAGTTATAAGGTAGATGATGAGTTGGTTAATTATGTGGGACAAATTTTCTAAATGGTTTGTTTCATTTGATTTTTGCTTACTGTTGTACACAATGTTTCAAATGAATTTTATTTAGCATGTAAGCTTACAGAAAATAGTTACTAGATTTTTAAAGGCATTATTGTGTATACCACCTGATACCACATTCAGCTGTTATATCAGAAGTAAATTTATTTTTAAGTGTCATTTTATTTAGTTCACAATGTTATTCAGAATTGTTGATATTAGAATTGACTAAAAGGGCCTTTTCTTCAGATTTTCTGTAAACATTCTTTAGTTTACATTTTGATCCTCATAGACAGAAAAGGTCCGAAGGGGAAGTCAGAAAGTTAAGGGAAAGGAAAGGAAAAAGGAATAAATATGAAAAAAGGAAAAAAATGGAAACAAAGTCTTTGTAAATAGGGAGGGGTGGAGGGGGTAAAGAGAGGGAAGGAGAATGGGGAAAAAATAAGAACCAAGATACATCATAAAGGTGCAAATTCCTAATGATGAATGTCATCATATCTTTTAAATATGCCAATAAGCAATGAATTAAAAAAAGAAATGTTGATATAAGATAAACTTAGTTTCCTAAAAAAAAGAAAAAGAATTGACTAAAAGGGAAAGTTGACATTGAGACTGTAGTTTACTTCATCACGCCAACAGTTGAGGCAAATATTCTTGGGCCACACATCATTTGTCTCTCTTGTGCTGGCCATATCCTCTGCCCTCCTGGAATTCCCCACTTATAAACATGCTATTCTTTTATATATATATCTATATATATAGATATATATATAGATATATATCTATATATCTATATATATAGATATTTTTTTGTACTGGGGATCAAACTCAGTCCCTGAGGTTGTGAGGCAGGCAGTGAAACCACTGAGCTAAATCCCCAGCCCCATAAAGAAAACAAAAGCTGTTCTTATGGCGACAGAGAATTGAAACCTAGGGGGAAGAAAAAAATGCAGAAAAGGTAAAAGATGTTAAAAAAAAGTCTCAGATTTACATGTGAATCTAGAATGTTTTTTGATAATACTGTGAATGCAGAGAAACTATCAAAATATTTGAGCGTTTTTTTGCTGATAAATTGAATAGATTTGTGCACCATTTAGGGAAACAACAACTTAACTAATTTGGGTTTTTTTAATAATCAATCTCATTTAGCAAATACCAGTTTGTTAGTAATATTAATGGCCTTTGCTTGGCTTTTTTTTTTAACCCCTGTGACAAGAGAACCACTCCAAAGTGTAGCATTTCTCTGATAGATTTTCATAGAGATGTACAGAGCGGACATGGACAAGGGGAAATGGAGAGAAGAACATGCAGTCATTCTCAGAAAGCCTATGTGAAAAGATGGGAATGAGTTGATGGCTGCCAAAGCTTTGCCTTCAACAAGTACCAGAGTTCTCTTTTATCTTTGGGAAAAGATTCTGGGCTCCTTTGATGGGCTTGTATATAATTCAAGGAGACAGGTCATTTGTGACTTGTTTAGCAAACTTCCCAGTTCTGGGGTAACATCTGATAAGGAAAGAGCATGTTGACACTAACTGTTCTTGATTACTGAAGGGACTACATAATCGTTAGATGTTCCCACTAGGGATTTGGCCTGTTTGAATCATTTATCCTATTTCTTATTTTATAAATCCCTAGTCTTTTTCCATTGGACTTGAAATGGACCATAATATGATGAGTAGAGCATACACTGTCTCCTGCTTTGCCATTGAGTTTAGATTAGAATTAAGGACTTCAGGAATTGTTTTGTTTCTTAGGTATTGGCAAATTTTCTAAAGGTCTCAAACAAAGGTATTACCCAAGACTGTTAAAATAACATTGATATGTACATGAAGTGTCTTGTATTTCACTAAAAGGAATAGAAAGATATAAGTATATAATTCATATATGTACATTTTATTTGCACTGTATTGCAAGATCCCAATAATTTTAACATTGCTTTTACTTTCTTCCTTTTGTTTTCTTTTCCTTTTGACCTTCTTTTCCCCTGATTTTTCAGTCTTTTACCCATCACAGTATCAAACCTCTTTTATAATTGCACACAGCATCCTCTGGAATATTGCTTCTGTGAGGCATGTTGGTCTTCCTACATAGTTATACATACTGAGTCAGAGATTGGATTTCTTTTTTTTTTCCTTTTTATTGAGTTTATTGGTACAATCTAGGTATACAATACAATTACATTCATCATTGGGATTCTGTACCTTTACATAATAGGTCTTCTCATTTTTTTTCCCCTTGTCCCTGCCCTCCCTTCACCCCCTCCTCCCCTCCCCATTTACAAACACTTTATTTCCATTTTTTCAGTTTCTCTTATTTTTTTCCTCTCCCTTATTACCTTCCCCCCACCCTTCCCACTTTCCCTACACCTTTAGC